CGGCGCAGCCAGCAAGCGCAGGGCTGGGCTGTGCATAGAAGGGATAGGGTGGGGGTGGAGTCGGGGTTCACCGGGGCCAGGCAGGGACTGGTTGAGCCACGAGGTGCGGGAGCAGAACGCTGGAGGTGCAGCTGCAGTATGGGCCGGGTTGGGTTGGGGGAGTCCTGCAGAACCAGGATGCTCAGGAACCTGGGCTGTGGGGTTTGGGGGCAGGCCAGGGCTCCAGTGTGGCAGGACTATGGTATGCAGGCGGTGGGCTTTTAACTCTTTCCAATCTTTTTGCTACCTTAAAATAACACTGGAGCAAACCCCTTCTTGAGCATTTTAATGTTTGCTTTTTCTGAATTATTTATTTTGACTAAATTTCTAGGTATAGGAGTATTAAATGAAATGTGAGTGGGTAGAAAGACCCCTCTGGGGTTATTTGGAGAATGGAGTGGAAGGGGAGGAGTCTGGAGAGAGTCTGGTGGGAGAGAACAAGACCCGCGCCTACTGGGGCTATGGGGACAGAAACGAAGGAGCTAGGGCAGAGAGAGTTAGGGGCAAAAGGGATAGAGCTGGGGACTGATGCGCTGTCATCAGTCCTGATGGGAGTGAGCAAGGTGAGAAACCTAGGAGTCTGACTCAGTGACTAGGGGGGTGTGAGGTCACTCTGCCATAGGGACCTGGGGGAGGAGTAGTTTGGGGGACTGTGTCTCCCACTCCTGCCCCTGAGGTCTTGAGGGGCAAAGCAAGTTAGAGGGCAGAAGGGACATGGTGCTGCACTGACGGTTGCCCTGGGAGCACTGCCTGCTGACCACTGACCCTCTACCCTGTCCCCAGCTTGAAGAGGAGCGCACCCACCTGGCAGAACAGCTACGAGCAGAGGCAGAGCTGTGTGCTGAAGCTGAGGAGATGCGGGCACGGCTGGCAGCCCGCAAGCAAGAACTAGAGCTAGTCGTGTCGGAGCTGGAGGCTCGTGTGGGCGAGGAGGAGGAGTGCAGCCGGCAGTTCCAAACTGAGAAGAAGAGGCTGCAGCAGCATATACAGGTCCGTCCCCCACTCCATGTGCCCACCAGGTCACCCTCTCCCAGACTCCTGTCTACCCCACCCACGTTTGCTTCTGCAAAACAAGTCTCTTTTGGCCAGGAATTTGTGGAAAACTTAGCTCTGAGTGACTTAAGCGAAATAATATATGTATTTTTTTAGTTCAAATAATGGGAGACTCTAGAATGTGTATGCTTCAGGTATGGCTCGATCCAGACATTCAAGTGATATTCTCAGGACTCTGCCTCCCTCCATCTCCTGGGTCCATCTGCCTCTATGCTGCTGCATTCATAGGCAGGCCGCTTTCTCATGTTCCCGTTCAAGACCTAGTGTGCATTTTATACTTATGGCGCATCTCAGTTCAGATGCTAAATTTTTATTGGAAATACTTGATCTTTATTTTTAGTTCATAACTTCTGCAGTTCACATACCCAATAGAT